TATTCTTGGATCGATCAATGTATTTCCACAGCTTCAATTTCGGCTCTAGTGAATGGGTCTCCTACTGAGGAGTTTTCTATCGCTAAAGGATTGAGTCAAGGTTGTAGTCTTTCTGCTCTTCTGTTTAATGTGGTTGGGGAATTACTTCATTTGATGTTGTCTAAAGCAGTGGATCGGGTCTCTTTCAAGGGTTCTCTTTCGGCAAGTATCATGAATCTTTTACTTTGTCCCATATTCAGTTTGCAGATGATTTAATTATCTTTTGTGGAGCCTCTATCACCCAGATTAAGAATGTGAAAAGAGTATTGAGGATTTTTAGCTTGTTGACGGGGCTCCAACTAAATTTAGGAAAAAGCAAGCTTTATGGAATTAATGTGGAGAAGGACATCCTTGAGGATTGGGCTAAAATCATTGCCTGTTCTAGTGGTTCTTTTCCCACATAATATTTAGGCCTTCCTTTAGGGGCGGTAAAGAACTCGGAGAAGCTATGGGAGCCGGTTTTGGTCAATTTTAATAAGAAATTGATAGGTTGGAAAGCCTCTTCTTTGTCTATGGCTGGCCGATTGGTACTTATTAAGTCGGTATTATCTTCTTTACCAATCGTTTTCCTATCTATTTTTAAGATGCCTTATTCCATTTGTCAGAGATTAAATTCCCTGTTGTCGAATTTCCTATAGGGGGAGGGGATGACAAAAAAAGAATGCACTGGGTGAGTTGGGAAAATATTTGTAGCCCGTTGAGTGGTGGAGGCTTGGGAGTTGTTGATTTGAGACTCACAAACCGTGCGTTATTGGGTAAGTGGATCTGGAAATTTGCTAATGATAAAAACTCGGTGTGGAATAAATTCTTATGCAGAAAACACAATGTGAGTTGCAATTCAATAGATATCAATAAGGTTATTTCCCAAAAAGACTCATGGATTTGGAAGGGTATTGTGAATAACTATATGAAGGACGATGACATTGGAGGTTGTCTTAGGTCTCATGCAAAACTTCAAATAGGAAATGGTTAGTCTATTTCCTTCTGGAGTGATTCTTGGCTTGGGGAGCTCCCCTTGAAACTGTTGTTCCCGAGAAGTTTTTCCCTTTCTTCTAATAAATTGGGCCACGTTGCTGATTTTGGGAGTTTTGAATCGACTGGATGGGAATGGAATATTATGACTAGGAGGAACCTTTGTGACTGGGAGGTGGAGCAGTTGGTAGAGTTATTGGATAGACTGAAATTCATTAAACTTTTTGAACCATTAGATGATTTTTTGTTGTGGGATGGTTCAGAGAACGGTATGTTCTCGGTTAAAGCTTGTAGGAAAGCTTTTTCTCCTTCTCATGACAATATTTTTCTGTGGAAAAAATGTGTGTGGCAGGGTTTGGTTCCCCCTAGAGTAGAGACTTTCTTGTGGTAATTGTCTCATCATAAAGTTGTTGTTAGAGTGGAACTGTTGAGAAGGGGGGTCAATTTAGGGGACAACTATCTCTGCCCTTTATGCAACTTATAGGAGGAATATGTCCAGCATCTTTTTATTTCATGCCCGGTTTCTTGGGATCTATGTACTAAACTTATAGGGTTTTGGGGTGTTCGATTAGCGCTTCTTAATCACCCTCACAGTTTTCTAAGTTCATGGGCGGATTTGAGGCCTAATTCTGCGATTTGGCAGTTTATTCCAGGGGTGGTCTTTTGGTCTATTTGGAAAACAAGAAATGTGATTATCTTTGATCAAGGAAAGTTGAACATAATTTCTTTGTTTTTCACTGTTCGTTTTAGATTAGCCAAGTGGTTTTTAGCTAAGTATCCCCATATTTCCATTCAGGTTGATTCTTTAATTGGAGATCCTTCTTTGGCTGACATTATTTCTACTTCTAAGAATTTGAAAAGAATTATGTTAAGAAGGAATCCTCCTCTAGTGGACTTTTTTAAGATGAATGTAGATGGGACAGTTAGTATTGTTGGGAGGTTGGCGGGAATTGGTGGTATTCTCAGGATTGGAATCGGGTTACACTTACTTCTTTTTCACAGAATGTCGGTCCTGCAACTCCCATCTTAGTAGAATTGATGGCTATAAAGTTTCTTCAACATGGGCTTCGAAGGGTAGGCTCATTATCGAATGTGATTCGAAGACAGCAGTAGATTGGATCAAAGATCATATTTCAGCTCTTGGTTGTATGCATTCTGTTGTTAAGGACATTGTGTATACTGTTTCTGTAAAATATGCTATTGTCAGGTGGATTCCTAGGTGTTGTAATAGCGAGGCTGATAAGCTAGCTAAGGAGGGAATTGGGTGATTGTTATTGTTGTTTTGGTTGGTTCGTTTGTATTACAAGGGAGTTGGTTTATGAGTGTTTTAAATCTTTTGTTTTCTGTAGGAGTGTTTAGTTTTTAGTCTTTTGTTTTGTAACAATGTTGTGTTTTTTGTAAACTGGTTTTTCTTTAATAAATTGATGCACTCTTTTCCTCATTCCACTAATGGGTTTCTTCCTAACGGCAGAGAATCAATAAGAGGGAGGTTTATAACGAGGCATCCTATTCTTATAAAAAAAATTACCAGGGCAAGGAATATTACTGCATGCTAATAGTGGTTGTGATCTAGTAGCATATTGTGATTCGGATTGGGCATCTTGCCCTGTTACAAGAAGATCAATTTCTGGATTTTGCATCAAACTAGGGAACTCACTGATTTCATAGGGAAAAAGAGTAGCAAACTGTGGCGTGATCATCTGCAAAGGCAGAATATAGGAGCATGACAGTTTTAACGGCAGAATTAGTGTGGTTTAATAGACTGTTGATAGAACTCAATTTTTAGAGAAAGCAACCGATCAGACTGCATTGTGACAGTAAAACTGCACTACAGATAGCAACAAATCTTGTTTATCATGAACGAACAAAACATATAGAAGTCGACTGCCAGTTTATTAGAGAGAAGATTGAAGGACTTATTCGTACTGAATATATTTATACAACATAACAGCTGGCAGGTATCTTTACAAAGGCGTTAAGTTCACAGCAACATAATTATCTTATTTCCAAGTTGGGGGTTATAGATATTTTTCACCCATCAACTTGAGGTGTGTTAGGAGTTGTGGGATTAGAGTTTGTTATAGCAGATTTAGTTTTCTTTTCTGTTAGTGATTAGCCACTTTAGTTTCATTGTTGTATAAATATGATGCATTGTATATATTACTGATGAAATAAAGTAAAAATTTCTCAATCCTTTGTATTTTAACAAAATTGGTTGCTGGGTGAGTTCATATGTTGAACCCTTGACGCATTAAATGTTACTCACTGTTGACGCGATTTACCTTAACTCAATCCTCCTGCCTCAGCAATAATGTCACTTGTCTGGTTTTGGAAAGGGACAATATACTCCTAAACTTTCCTATAGTAGCGGTTATGATTTTGTAAGCGAAAAATAATTGAACTGATATGGAAAAAATCACATACAAGAGATAAAATTTAATGTGTTTTATTTTTACGTACTTTTATTAATAAGAAGAATAATAATCCACTATAAAATCTATAAACATAGAAATCACAAATGATACAAATACATAATGTCACATGTATCTTAAAATTCGTTATTTATATCAAAATTCAGAGTATATCATATGACTCCTCCAATATCTCTACAAAATTCATATAACAACGTAAACTCAAAAAGTTGTAGAAACTAAAAAAAGATTACATATTTCTAAAATAATTATCTCTCTAAAATAATTATATCTCGTAATTTTATAGGTTAAGACATACTCTCTGTTTATATAGTTAAATATTTGATCACCAGTAATTATTATTAAATAAATTTAATCACCAAATAATCTTTAAGCAATAAAATTATAATAAAATATAATTTAATTTCTAATTAAAATTTGAATTAATATCTAATAAAAAAGTTAGAATCCCATCATATCATGTAGTACCATGGCTATTACAACTGTCTGAAATTGATTAAATCAGTAAATAAAGCTTTCAGCTAAGAAATCAACTACTACTATTTGTGTTCCGAAAGGAACGTCAATGATTTGCTTATTTTGACGCTAAGATTTTGCAGACAAGGACAGACTAGTGAGATAGGTGACAAAATGAAGATGGGAATATAATGATGTAGATAAAGCAAGAAATTCTAAGCTCTTGTGCTGTCATTTTAAATCCTTAAACCTGACCCAATTTTCTGTGGTCCCTTGTGCTCCACGTAACTCCATTATTTCTTTGTTTCCCAACTATCAAACATTGTAAATACCACAAAGTAGGGTAATTAAACTCGACTTAACGAAAAATCAATTTTTTCGGCTTACTTGAAAAAACTCAATTTGAATTGATTTTGAGTTATAATTTTAGAAATTCGACTCAATTCTAAAAAATTTTAAGTTTAAATCAAGTTGTATTTTACAACTCGAATAACTCAAAATTTTTACAAATTAGTATATTGATTTTCAAGTTTGGGTTGAAAATTGAGTCGAGTCCCTTGACTTTGTATGGTATATGTAAATCACATGAAAAAAATACATACACACATATATATATATATATATGATTATAAAATATCATTTAAATAAGAATCAAATGATGTCAATATATTATAAATATTTACAATTAAATTTAAATAAAAACTAAAAAATTTCAAAAAAAATGAGACTAAATTTTTTTACTAGACTCGATCTCATCTCTACCACACAGTGCTTCTGCATATTTCTGCATAGTGCTGAGTAATAATGGAAGTATTGGGAAATACAAGTTTCAAGACTAGGTTTACAAAAGAAAAACCAGAAGCAGAAATGAAGCAATGCCACCGGGTTCATATCTGTAGAATCATTAGTTGAAGAAACGCTTTAAGGTTTTATCATGAAGAGTCACTAAACGTAGTCCCCTTTTATCTGCAATATCCTGAAGATAAGGCGAATTCAAGAAGAAGAAAAAAAGCTTTGAAAATGAATTTTCACGATGAGAACAGTATAAACCTTTGTGGCTCCACGGCATTACTTAAAAAATCTTTTCCAATGTGTGTTTACAAACCAGTATAAATACCTTCAAGTCTGGTACAAAAATGGTGTGGAGATTTCAAAGAAACTCATAAATTTACATAGAGCTTGTCAATCAAGAACATGGCAGAAAGCAAAAGAGGTTTAATGATGTTCCTCCCTTTCTTTGAGAAACTACGAAAGCGTTTCTCGAGTTTGGCATACGGCTCATCTCCCACGGTCGACCAGTCCAGATTCGACGACGACATGAGTGTCGCTAAAGCAGTGCCAGCTGATGTTAAAGAAGGGTGTTTTGCTGTCCGTACAGGGGAGGGAAAAGAAGCACAAAGGTTTATTATTGAATTATTAACAAACCCGGAATTCCAAAGCCTACTCGATCAGTCTCGGGATGAATATGGATCCCACCAGAAAGGATTTCTTTCTCTCCCTTGTCACCCCTCATCAACTAGAGGAGATTCTTGAACACAGCAGAGAAAACAACGTTGAAAGTTGGGATATATGTAATGCTACCATAATAGAAAGCTACCAGGAGGACAAATAAAAGATGTCTTGTAAGATTTGAGTTTTTGTACGAGGGAAAATGTCTTGCTTGGTTCTCAGATTTGTTAAATTTCAGTAGTGCTATGCTGTTGCGTTAGTCGTCATCGTTTTTCTTGTCGAGTCCTTTCGCAATGTATCGTCTTGTTCAGTTGACAAACTCTGTAGAACTTTAGTGTGCAATGTCAAGTTATCTTGTATGATTAATATCAAGTTATGTTAGCCCGTGAAATTCAAAACGTGAGCTTTGTTTCTTTAACTTTGCCTTCAAGTTAGCACGTAACTTTCCATTTTCTAGGCTGAAACCTTGCAACTGCTATGTTAAACCCTAAAGCTGAATGGGGCATGTTTGCTAAAACTTAGGAATATCATGTAAGAAAAGACCATAGATACTCATAGTGTCATTTCAAACCTACAAACCAGACGCAACTGTTCTTTGAATGATTCGAGACGCTACTGTTTACGGTCCCATGTACTAACAACATTCATTTTCTTTGTCTACCAACCATCAGACAAGACAACCTTAGCAAATTGTACGCAGTAGTACAACACGGTGAAAATTTCTAACTTTTATGCAGTATTTGTGTAATTCAATTATTGGATTCTTATGACTTCACTGAACTCTTGTCTTTCGAAAGAAATCTGAGGGCACGTTCCATAAGCAGCAAAAACCCTCGGCTCCAACAAAATATTGATCAAATAAATCAGTTACTTGAAAAGTGCAAATAACAAGAAAGAGTTTATTGAAAAAAGACTACTTACTGTAAACTAGGTGGCCTTTCTGGGTTTTCTTTCTCTTCGATTTATTTACATATCATATAAGAAAAAGTAGATTATTAAGAGCTTATAGGTAACTATTACTTCAATTCATATTCTAAGAGCCCAAGACCAAGTTTTGTGTGTTAAAATCAGTTCTGCTACCTGCTGTAATTAAATTAAATTAAATTAATATTTTTATTTTGTAATCAAACAGTTCTGTTTTATAATTTTCCCCATTATTTTTGGTTGTTAACAAGCTCAAATCATCATTTAGCATATCTGTATGTCTGCAATGTTGATCTTTTTGGCTTCGTCCACAAAACCAAAGTATGTAAATGTTTTTCGTTCTGTAAAAAGATGAGATCTGCTTCCCATGATATTATGTTGTATGTACTCAATGGTTATTACAATTCATCAAACTCTAGGTTGTAAAAAACTGTCTGAAATTTTGAATCAAAAACTAATACGTACAAAGCTTTCAGCTAAGAAATCAAATACCTCCATTATTTTCCGTGTTTGAAAGGTATTTTCCGTGTCCTAGAAGGGTGTCAATGATTAATTGCATTGAATGATGCTTGGTAGCAAGTTGCAAACCATACTGTCCCTGGGAAAGTTCACCTATTATAGTTTCCACCTTCTTTAATCTGCTATAAATTTCTTTCAGAGGTCTGCAACTTCATCACAAAACAAAATTCTAATAAGTTTCTAAGTTCCAATACTCCAAACCAGATAGTGAAATGTCTGTGGCGTTTCAGAAGTGGAGAAAACGCCATGCAAGGCTTATGATGCTTAGACTTTTAACCAAAAAGCTGCTAAGTCTCATCTTGGTGTTACCATCACCAAGGACGGATCACAATGTTTTCGAGTTCGATGAAGATTTAGAAGAACCAACTATGGTCCCAAGAGATGTGAAGGAAGGGCATTTTGCAGTTATTTCTGTCAAAGGTGGAGAAAAAAAGAGGTTTATCTTGGACCTAAGGAATCTGAGAAACCCAGAATTCTTGGAGCTGTTAGAGCAGGCTAAAGAAGAATATGGATTCCAAAAGGAAGGAGTCCTTGTCTTCCCTTGTCAACCAGAAGAATTGCAGAAGATTTTAAAAGGCAGCACAACATCTTGATGTATACATAATTGCTGGTTTCTTGGTGCAATTATGCATAATGTTAAACTATTACTGTACTCTGGAATAGATAGCCATTCGGTTAATGATTCTTCTTCTTAGTATTAGCTGATTGCTTTACTATTATCATCTTGAATCATCACTATTCAAATGCTAAACAAACTCGATGTAATATTCTTAATCCTTTTAGAATTTGTAAGAGAACTTGTTGCTAAAGAAGATTCTGTAACATTTTTTATGTTAATAACAATGTAAGTTTCTTGAAAGATTTGTTTGATTCTGGCTCTAATATTGAAAGAAGTTCAATAAAAACGGTTTCTAATTTGTAAGTTGAAAAAATAACCAAATCAAAATCAATATGAAAATAGAATACACGCAAGAGACGAGATTTAACGTATTTAACTTTGTCTATCTCCACAAATTATAAGAACAATAATCAACTAGAGATCACGAAGAGTATAAATACATGATATCTCATGTATCCCATAACTCAATATATCAAAATTCGATGTATCCCACCATCAACTTGTTGGTCTATTGGGATAAGGCACTAGATCCCTTAAGCAACGTCAGGGGTTTGAATCTTGACATTTACAAATGGAGCAAATTAGGTTGGGAGGGTCACCCTTACCTTTGTAGTGTTCAATGATAGCTCTGGCCTCATGAAGGAGTTCAAATTTTTATATAATTTAGACTTTTTTTGTATTTCTATTAATAATCTGTTTTCGTTTCCTAAAATTTTATAAGTTCACCCTCAACATAAAATTTTGTGTCTGTCCCTTCTGGAAGAGATGGTGCAACTGTCTAGGCCTCAAAGTCAGGCGTTCTTATCCAATTACATCCACTTATCTGTAGGTTGTAGCAGAGCTGAAAATTTGACTGCAGATTCTTGGTAGATGCATGGGAGGGCCTAGTATCTAATATGAGAAAAGGAATCACCTACAAAATGGTCCTATCCTCTTTTCCTTGTGGAACTCTATGAATCGAATAATGCATGCATTCCTACATAACAAACATTGAGATTATTGCAGAAACAAAAACTAAATACATTTAAACAAGCCCCGTTCTGTAACTTCTAGTTTTCTACGTATCAGAAAACAAAGTTTTGATTAAGACCTTTATTCACAATGCATGTTCAAATTATTACTACCAAGAAACACTGAATATAGTCTGTTCAATGAAGGGAAAAGAAATGCAGAGGTTTGTCATTGAATTAGACCACTTAACAAATCCTGAATTTCTAAGTCTACTCGATCAAGCTTGGGAAGAATATGGATTCCAGCAGAAATGGGTTCTTTCTCTCCCTTATCAACCTCTTGAACTGCAGGAGATTCTAGAACACAGAAATTTGGGATATATGTAATGCTACAACACTAGAAAGCTACTAGGAAGACAAACAAATAAAAGATTTCTTGTGATCTTTTCGAGTTCTTATTCGACTGAACATATTTTTCTTGGATCTCAGATTTGTGGATTTTCATCCCTTAAAGTTTTTGCAAAGTTGGTAATTACTTTTTAAATGCATATTATAATCATATTAAGCAATGCTAAACAAACTTAATAGTGATGTACCATTCTTGATCTATGTATGAGAAAGTGAAAGGGGAAAAAAGCACCAAACTGGATAGCTGTGAATAGACTATATGCTTTGCCTTAATACTACTTATAAATTTTGCAGAAACATAAGCCATTAAGAAAAGGGTTCCATGTATTTGATCATTCAATTTGCAGAAAAGATGTTGCTGCTAAAGAAGATTCTGTAACATTAGTTATATTAATTACGATGTAAGTTTCTTAACAGGCTTTGTTTGAGTTCAACTCTAATATTGAAAAGGTTAAATAAAAATCATTTCAAAACCATTGTTCAAGCTGTCAATACAGATTGTATGTAGCAGATATGCTTCAAACTGTATACATGCAACCTCAAATCAATTTCTAGTTGGCCATTTTGCCAGCAGTTTCTACTCCGTGAAACACCAATGTCCAATATTAGGGGAAGTGCTTCATTGCTTTATGTGCAATGTCATCAAAAAGGGAGAAAAAAAAAACAACAATGTACAATTCATTATGCACTTTAGTCCCACAAGCTCCAATAAGGTAGTGAAAGTGAGATTAACTCATTACCAGATCAGTATTCCGTGTCTGTTAATCCGTGTAACCAAGTGACATAGTCAAGTTAGTATGCAGTAAGTGACAATGGAATTTTGAAAACATGGACAAAGTCACATGACAAGTTGAGTGATGCAGAGACCTTGGAATTTAATGATGTAGATAAATCAAGAGAATTCGAGCTCCTTTCATTCTCTATGGTCCCATGTTTTCATATATAATTCCATTATTTTTGTTGTTGTTTCTCATCAGATAACAGTAGCTACTTCTTCATATTATCCAGTTACATCATACTTCTTTTCGTTGAACTCTATGAATCGAATCATGCATGCATTCCTGTATAGAAAACACAGAGAGAATCGCAGAAGCAAGAGAATCAAATACTACTGTGAATTAACAATGCATGTTAAGGAGGAATATGAACTTCTAGCTTCAGCTTAAAGTTTCTCTGATAGCTCAAGCGTGAAAGGTACTTGAAAGATGTCCAAACTATATATGCAAGTGGAATAATACTAAATCAATCAATTTATGTTTAACATCGGTAAATTTAGTTCCACTTTATCTGCAATATCCTGTGGAAAGACAACCATCCCAAATTCGATGCAGACATGAGTGTCGGTAAAGCAGTACCGGGTGATGTTAAGGAAGGATTTTTAACTGTCTTTGCAGTGGAAAAGAAACGCAGAGGTTTGTTATTGAATTAGAGTATTAGACCACTTAACAAATCCTGAATTTCAAAAGTCTGATCGATCAAGCTTGGGAAGAATATAAATTCCAGCAGAAAGGGGTTCTTTCTCTCCCTTGTCGACCTCGTGAACTGCAGGAGATTCTAGAATACAGCAAAGGGCAAAATGCGTGCACTGAAAGTTGGACCGCAAGTAATGACACAATACTAGAAAGCTACTAGGAATACAAATAAAATATTTCTTGCAATTTTTTTTGAGTTCTTGTTCAGCTCAATATATATTACTTGGATCTCAGGTTTGTAAATTTTCATTAATGCAAACCCCTTAAAGATTTTGCAGAGTTGGTAATTATTTTTTTCATGGATATTATATCATATGAAGGTCTCTTTCTTTTGCCTTACCTTCAACCTGAATTTATGTGTTTTATTTAAGCCTGAGCTAACTTCAACGTTTAAAGAGGAAAAATGAAACACAGCATTAACAAATCAATTGGCAGCGAAAGAAGTTACTGCTGAACATTCTTGGAAACATTTTTCATTGCATAAGTTACCATGTAACTTTCTATTTTCTAGACTGAAAATACTGGAACTGCAGTTTTCATAAGAGTTAGCGTCATCTTACAAAACAAAAATGAAAAACATTACTACAATTTTTCCCTGTTAAAGAGAAAATGGCTTGTGGAAATGCAACTCTCCCTCGTGAGAAAATGCATCTAGTACGGTAAGAGGAAGGATCCCGAAACAGAAGGCACAACTTTGTTGGCCTCCGATGCCGGCATTCTTTTCCAGTTACATCCTCTTATCCGTGGCAGGGCTTAAAATCTAGGTGTCTACAAATTGGCCCTATCCAGCTATCCTCTTGTACAGCTGTATGAGTCAAGTCAAGTCATGCATGCATACATATATAACAAACATCGAGAGAATTGCAAACAAGTGCTAATTAGAGACCTTTATTAACAATCAATTTATGTTAATGGCCTACTACTACATCAGCCAATTTATGGCTCCACAGGGCTACGTAGATATTTCAATCACCTATTGGAAAAACAATGTAAATACTCTCCAAGTCTGGCATAAAGGAGCATTTATTTCAAAGTAACTCATAAATTTACAGGGAAGTTGTCTATCAAATTCAAGAACAAGGCAGGAAGAAAAAGAGGGTTGATGATATTCAAGAACCATGCCGAGTTAAGCTATGGTTGTTTCAAAGCTACAAAGCAGACGCTACTGTTTCATACTCTCAAAATTCCTCATCTGTTTCCCAACCATCAGACAAGACAACCGTAGCAGATTGTAGTCGTAGAACACGGTTAAAAAATCCACTTTTATGTATTATTTGTGCAATACAATTATTGGATTCTCTTGACTTCTTTCATATCTTGACTAGCGATAACGATGGAGAACGAATCTAAGGTACACAAACCTACTCGGTTGTCGGTTCCACAAATATTCAAGCACATCATTTACTTGAAAATTCCAACTTTATGGATTACTTGGTTTACAGATGGAATTCCCAGTGAAAATATTCTGATATACATCTTTGGCTTTCACTGATGATGAAATGACAATGCTTTACTCATTTCCATGACTTTTTTCTCACTTTCTGAATGTGTCAGCCATGACTAGTAATATCATATCTTTCTCATGGCGGTGTTTTTATTGAGTTGAACAAACTTGGAACGACTAGGGTTAATTTTAATTCATTAAATACGACAGTTATGCCGACATCCTATGAACCGACTCTATAACCTGTATTGGTTAAATTTATGATTGTTTAGAATTTAAAATGAATATTTTCATTCATTGATAATTGGTTCTAAGTTAATTCTTAATATAGTACAAATCCAAGTTCTACGATATTATCTTTTCCGATTTTCCTATGCATTATTTCTTCCTAGTTTATCACGGATAAGAATGAATATTCAATCAAGTTATATAATTTTTTAAATAAATCGCATTAATAAATCTTTAAATTTAATTATAAATATTTATAACATTATTATATTTTTCATTTTAATTTAAACAATTTTCTATAATCATATAAGATACACATATATTTCTTTATAATTTTTCATATATATATATATATATACACACACATAATGTAGAATTAAAAAACTCGACTTGAACTTACAAGTCATGTTATGAAATTATGAGTCAAATTAAGTTAAATCAAATCTTTTAGAGTTAAGTCAAGTTAAAAAAATATTTTTTTTTCTAATCGAGTTGGATTTTACACACCTTAATCACGGGCTGACATGTACTGCATGGTAAAAACACAGCTCAACGAGTCCAGCGAGGCCGAGTCACTGTTGCATGCATGATGCTACTGTATACCGCGTTTCAAAGGAGATCCACCAGTTTCCGAGAAAGCATGGAAAAATATATGTAGAATATCAAAGATGGCATTAAATGATAGTTTGGTTCCAACCATATGAAAATGTCCCCCATAATGTCTCTCAGAAATTTCACATATGCTTCCAATTTTTCCTTAATACCCCCTGTATAAATCTTTCTCTCTCAGGATGCACTATCGATCAATCACGAAAATCATCACATTTTTGGAGAAGTTTGTGCAAATGCAGAACTGGGAACAACACCATACAGGGCTTGTAATGGTTAGGCTTTGGATGAAAAAGGTAAAGAGATTCCTCACGGAGTTACCGACAAGAGTCCCTGATCGAAATGTCACCGAGTTCGACAAAGATGTTGAAGAAACAAAGATACCAAAGGATGTGAAAGAAGGGCATTTTGCAGTGATTGCAGTCAATGGTGGGAAATCAAAGAGGTTTATCTTGGAGCTGAGTTATCTGAGGAATCCAGCGTTTTTGATGTTATTAGAGCAAGCTAAAGAAGAATATGGATTCCAGCAAATGGGAGCTTTAACACTCCCTTGTCACCCTGAAGAGTTGCAGAAGATCTTAGAAGACTAAATAAAAAGAACTACTACTAGCCTCTAGGTGGAGTTTGATTATACTGTTTTCTGACAGGCTGTTTAAAGCTAATGTTATTTCTTTTCTCCTTTGATCTCGTGCTAATTTAAAAGAAAAAATGGTCCTAACAATTCAACCATGAAGACAGTTGTTGCTTTGACCTGCATGTAAAGTTCCACACTATTACAACTTCCACAGAAACATAAACATACACCAGAGTGTCGGTGTATTGATCTCTGTATTCATGCATTTGCCAATATTTATACATAATTCTGTATAAAATACAATAGGTGATTGACTTCATCCTCCGAGATTGTTAAATATACATCCAACAAGCCTAAGGATACTTACATGAGGACAAGATATGAGATTCTTAACATGGTTCATATATTGTTTCTAAGTTTCTAATGCTACACAAATTTCATTTCTTCAATTCAAAGTGACAAACATTGCATGGTTGGTAGAGAGAATGTCTGGATCAAGTAAAAAAGAGATCATGCTTGTAGTACTGATAGATTTCTATTTTACCTCGGAGCAATTGCTTGGCCCGACAGGTTCTCTTAAGCAATTGGATATTGCCATGACAGCAGCTTCAATAGATGCATCTTCCCCCTGTTCCAGCCGAAATATCTCGAAATTACTTTGCAGGGTAAAAAATGCATAAACTGAACATTTCACACGCAAACTGTCATTTATCCATAGATGAACAAGTAAACTTTACCTTCTCTTTCCAGTAAAACATATTTCTGTATTTCCCTGTCAAACGGCTCCAAAAGTTTCGGGGAATGTCTAAGTCAACAGTAGCCCCAACATTGAAATTTAATATATTGCCTGGACCAAGATCCATCTATAATTAAAAACACTCATAATCTCATATACCATATCACTGTCTAAGGACAATGCCATATCCAAATTTTTTACCAAATGTGGGATCAGCAACGAAAACTATAGTTCTATCATCTACTTGCCAAAAGTCTTTGATTGCCAACCCTGTAGCAATTTGAGAAGTAAATTTGAACTTTGCAAACGACTTCAAGAATTAAATTAAATTAAATTAAATAGAAATAACTTAAGTGTTGGGGAGAAAATCTTTTCTTTTTCAGTGAGGCCAATGACAGAAAATATAGTACTCATACCAGGCGTGTCAGGGTAATTTTGTCCTAAAACTCTCAACTTGAAGCCAGTATCCTTTTCTCCTGGGATTTAACAGTCCATCGTTAGTGTTAATCTGCCGTTCATAGAAGGCAGTAGCATTATTTGCCATTAGTTGTATTTGGTTCCACATCAAGGCTTTGGCTTGCTCTTTTTCCTTCCTTTTTGTTTTCTCAGCAATAGGCTAATATTATTAAAAGAAAATAAAAGAGGCATAAACACTTCCATAACGTTTACAACTCAAAATAGACTCCATCTTACGGCGTGAAACAAAATCATAAACAGGCAAATAGTCTGTATATCTTCAAAACAAATTCCTCGCATTTCTTCAAATTAGTTCTACTTGTTACTCCATGACTTCATAATCAATAAGAAAACGACGAATAAGGAAGTCATACTCAAGAAACTGTTTTCACCCCCTTTTTACGTTCCCTTATTAAGCTTAAAAACATGAGAGAGAAAACTATGTGGAATGAGGGTCAAAGCATGGAATTATGCATCAAACTAGATATGATCATTGGTCATTTAACATGGAAGGGGCTATGTACTCTATCAATATAAATTATCTCATGGAAAAATAAATCAACCAAAGTTTTTCAAGTACATTTGATATTGGAACATTTTCAACGCAGGGTTACATGCATGTGATGGTCAAATGTCATGTCCTTAAAAGACATGATTTTTAGTCAGTAAATATTTGCTTATATATAAAACTCCTGTCATGTTTGCAAGACACAAAGTTCATGCATGGAACAAACAAAGAAAGGCCTATAAGCAGAGATGGATCGAGTGGGGTGCTGGTGGTTGCAGTCGCACCCCTTGAAAATTTCAAATTCCCACATAGTTTAAATATTTTTTATATTTTCAATTGATGATCTAATTTCATATTGTACGCCTAAATTTATAATATAATTTCCTAAGTTTGCACTTGTCTAGCTTAAAATCATGCATTCCTCCCTGCATATAAGTTTTGCATCACCAAATCAGATAATTATTTTTTTTTACATTAGTAGGTTGATTTTATCAATGCAAAACATAATGATTCACTGAATTTCATTGCATTCTTGAGGTTTATATGCCTACAATACTTTTTCCAGGGGGAAGTGGAAATATTGAACGAAATCAAACCTGGCCATCAGAGAGGAAGCCTGCTACATCAATCACCGGAGTGAACTCTCTAGGAAGTAATTCAGGCTTGTTAACCCCAACTTTTGCCTCCGCCAATCCAACCCCTAAAACCATAGCTTCATAATTAAGCTCCATTTTGCATGAGTAAGCTAAAACAATACCAGAATAAAGAAAAACATCACAGCATTTGAAGGTTGCATGATGTAAAGATATAGCTCTTCGTACTTAAGAGCCACAATCAATATTACAATGAAAGCACCCAAGCCCGCATTCATTGCAGGCTAATTTGACTTGCCTGTTACGGATAATGTGAGGGCAATAGCACCAGATAATTCAGGCTTGTTAACCCCAACTTTTGCCTCCGCCAATCCAACCCCTAAAACCATAGCTTCATAATTAAGCTCCTTTTGCATGAGTAAGCTAAAACAATACCAGAATAAAGAAAACATCACCGCATTTGAAGGTTGCATGATGTAAGATATAGCTCTTCGTACTTAGACCACAATCATATTACAATGAAAGCACCCAAGCCCGCATTCATTGCAGGCTAATTTGACTTGCCTGTTACGGATAATGTGAGGGCAATAGCACCAGAGAAGACCCAGTTCAAGGACTTGACTCTAAAATCTTGGACCCAGTTTCGGAAACCGGTTGGGTTTAAGCTATGAGTGGTTGGCAGACAGAGACGAGAAGATGCTCTAATGGGCAGTGAAAAAGTAGGAATTGGAGTTGTTCTGAAACATGATGATGGGAATTGCGTAAACGCCATTGGAATTTTTTTTTTTTAAGTTTTTGCTGCTGTTGCAAGGATAGGATTTAAAGAAGTTTCTGTATAGTTCCTTGGGTCTCCACCAAGTGGTGAAGTACGTGTAAGCATTATAAACTGTGTGAATTCTGGAATTTATGAAGAAGATTAACCCAGATTTTTGTCTATCAAATCCCACGATTTCAACTTATCCTCCTAGGGCATGTTTGGAGTATATTATCAATATTATATTTTTTAGAGTATATTATTAGAAATGTCATTAACTCCTTTTTCATTAGGTATTGTTGGATTATCGATTTTTTAGACTAAAATACCCTTAATTTTTTTTTCAAAAAAATCATTCTTCTGTCATTGAATAATAAAAATTATACGAAGGTTAAATTATAAATCCATCCTTAAATTATTTTAGATTTACAAAAAAAATCTATAATTAAATTTTTGTATGAAGTTCAGAGGCTAAAATAAAATTTTACTATTTCATTAAACCTTTTTATATTTTTAATTTTGTAAAAACTATATATAAATTTTATGAATTTATTTTTTTAAAGAAAATACATAAATATTTTTCAACTTGATAAAAAATAAATATATAATAAGGACAATTTGGTCGAATATACATTTCAATAATATTTTATTCCTTTAACCAAACACGGTAATCTTACATTTCTTCTAAACCAACCAAACACAAAATACAACTTTCCCAATAATCATATTCCTTAGCAATCTTATATTCCCACTGGTAATCTTACATTCCTACTGGTAATCTTATATTCCGACTGGTAATCTTACATTCCTTGAAGCAAACACACCCTTACAACTATCAATTTTGATGAATAAAATCTGGCATTTTTTTTTAATAGCACACCCCTTTAACAACAATAAATCATTACCACACTCTCATATTATTGGATACTTGTATTAGTTGGTTCATATAATATATCAATCATTTATGATCCTTGCTTATGACAATTCAAATATCAATTTATTATATTAATTGAACACTATAATCTCACCCTATTTGTAGGGCTAGATTAAACCCTCTTTGTATCATTCTCTTTCTACGGAGCAGGCAGGAGGATAGATGATTTTAGAATATGGGTTTTTGCTTCAGTTTCATTTACAGCTTTTGAAGGATATATATCAACATGAAGATCAAGACTTCACTGTTTGGGGTGTTCATTGTTCAGTTTCAATCAAATTAACTGATGGAATAAAAATTCAATTCAATTAATCAATCAATCAATTAGATGTCAAATCGGTAGGTGGTTAATAAAATATTCAAATTTCAATTATTGAATTAATCGAAAATATTACACAGTGTAATTTTTTTTTAATTTTATACAGATTTAAAAATCATTAGATAAATAGAAATATATAGGTGAGACATTTATTGAGAAAAAAAACAAAAAATTAATTTCAATCGTCTATTTTCACTCATCCAACAATATTAAATCTGTATAAAACTAATATATATATATATATATATGGTAAGTAGGTTCTAAAGCTGTCATATATCTATGAATATAAATATATATAAAGTTTGGATCAATTTACACAATGTAAAATTATTTTCATTTTACAAGATTTAAGACCGTTAAATAAGTGAAAATAGATGACTGAGATTAATTGATTGTTTATTTTCAAGTGAATATCTTCTCTTAGTCATCTATTTTCACTCATCCAACTATTTTCATTCTTCTAACGATCCTAAATTTGTTCGATTAAGCTCAAACCCATTAAAAATTAACTCTATTAAACTTAAATTAATCTAACTAAAAACATTTTAAAAAAACGATCAATTCAATCATCGACCACATTAATGAAACTTTGTTCAATTTGATTAACTGTTAAAGAAGAAAAATCAGTTCGTTGAATTTGACTAATTCGGTTTGATTGGTGACTGAATTATCCATTTAAAACCCCCTATTCACTCTTTTCTGAGTTCAACAACAATCCCTTGAGATTGAAGTTAGCCATTTGAAGAGCATATCATGCCAATTTCAAAAGAACCCCTAATCTAGCTTATTCTGATATGTTCAATCCCCAAAATAGCTTCAAACCAGGGATCACAATGCTTGTATTATCACTCAATATGACTCACCAAGTTTTCTTCAACTTACTAAGCCTAGCATTCAACGACAATCTTTCCGGCGACTGGCAGATTTACGATACATTTCACTCTAACAACATCTTAAGGAATACGAGAAAGATTAACAGAAGATCGTTATTACTCGAAAGATTTAACGTCCACCAAAATACAAATGGGAGAATATAATAGCACGAGTCCGGAAGAAGGTGCAGAGCAATCAAGATAGACAAAGTTTTCATCAGGTGAAGTAATATTTGTGCAAACTACTTATCAAAGAGCATGCCTACACAAATGAAGAACTAAGGGAAGTAGACGGGCCAATTGTAGTAGTAGGAGTCTCTGAGATCCTTGTCCATGTACTCATTCCACTGAAAAGACGACAAAATATAAACAAAAGTTTGTCAATTTCGTAAAAGGCGTCTAGAATGACCGATAGATTTTAAGAAAGTTGGTCCATAAATGATAACAGATAATGAACCTTGAATTTGTATGGTTGATTCTTTGCCTTTGCTTTCTTCCAATGGTAGTGTTCGAATATCATTGCTCTGTCATGCCAACTGCAAATCGACATATCCAAAATTATTAAGTAAAAAGAAAACGCTGGACACAGAATATCGAGGATGAAGATGAAGGTATAAATGAATGCTAGGTCAGTATAAAGCAGAATCTGGCACCTATGAATAAAAAGAATAGCAGAACACACTGCGGAAGTGGCTTAGATAGATATTTTTAACCTTTCTGTTTTCAGAATATGCAATGCACTGTAATAAATACAATGACAGAGAGACCTACTTGTTTCTGTATATAGATTAACATCAAGTATTCATGCTGGCTAATATCGACAACAATATAAGCAAGTTACTTAACAAAAACTGAATCATTTGCATCCATATAACGATTTTTTTTTATGAAACGGATCTGGACTCCGGTAAAACTACATAATAAACAGATTAAATGTGTCTTGTACTGCCCTGAAGCAAACCAATGTTACTGAGAAAAGTATGCGATAATGCTAAGCAAAGGAGAGATGAATTTGGGCATTCCAGAATAATCTTTTCGAAAAAACCACCTATAAACAAAACTTGTCTAACTCAATTTGGTTAGAAAATGGCTATAAACTCAGAAAGAAAGAGTAATTTGCACAAAGGCAACTTGCTAAAAGGATGCTGGCAACAAAGAAATAGACGTCTTCAACAACCAGCAGCTGTTCATTTTGAAACCTGCTCAAAAACTGAGAAGTTGAGATACCAGAACTCAAAAGGGAAGAAATGCCACAATGCAACCCCACCGCAACAGGTGATCCAGAAATATTTTTTTAGAGTGGACACATATATTAACACAAAATTTATTTAAAAATCAAACTTTATGTAGGCACAATCAGTAAAATAGATAACTAATAGAAGGAAATTTGGATTTCAAGGTGCGCATAAACTAAACATGCATCAACCACCTATGTTGCACTGATACAGATACGGGGACAGAAAAAGGGACATGAAGCGGCAATTTCCAAAATTACATGGTACATATACGGCAAGAGTAGGATGAATATAAATAAATTTTAAAATTCGTAATTACTACAAAATCACATATTAAATCTGTATCCAGTTTTGTGCTTGCACTATATTCGATAAAACGGACATATCTTAAGTTTACAACATCTGATTGAGGCGTTCCAAAATGTGTTAGAAATATAATTGAAAGACGGTTCATACATAAAAAGAAATCTCAACCTATAAATACTCTAGCCGTACCCCTTCAACATGGAAGGTTCCCGGTAAGTACCTAAATTGTACCCGTGCAACATAGTCCGCCACTGACTGTAGCACGCCCGTCCCACTCAAACAAGATAAGATGAATGAAAACAGTGAATCATATATGTCTTGAACCGTCAATATATACACTCAAGATAACATGGAAATTAAAACAAAAAGGGGAAAAATAAATTCCAAACTGCTAAAAGGTAATGAATTTGAATTTTATTTCATTAACTTCAAAAGACAACTTAATTCAAATAAACCCTAAATGTAAAGCATGGTTCCATCAAACACAAAAGAAAAAAAATCACCACTCGCAGATGAAATTTCAAACAAACATAACAAAAAGAAAAATCAAAACTAGCAAAAGATACGAAGCATAAGAGTTTAAAGAGAGAAAAGTGTTGAACCAAAATTACTTGAATTGGTTTGAGAGCTGCCACATGTAAGGGTTGAACCAAGTGAGTACAGAGAAAGCAGCCGACCCTATCCATATATTCACGAACCGGTCCGCACTGGCATGGGGCACTCCCGGGTCACCTCTATACGCATTTCCAAAGTACTTCTCCATTTCCAAAGCTTCACTCTTTTCTTCACCTCTCTCGCAACAACCAGTCCACAAGCGAAGCTATTATCTTTTCTAGGGTGAAAAAATCAAACAGTTTTTTTAATACAGCAATACAGTTTTGGGCCATCCATCTAGGCCCAAAAAAGTGTAGAGCGTAAACCATACTCGCGCGAGTGGCATTTAGAATTTTTTATAAATTCATTTAGCATCGACCATCCGCTCTCACCTCTTTCGAATTTGGATTTTGCTTGATTCCCACCACTTTTAAGGGTTTTTCTTCTTTCTTTTCAATTTCTTAGAATTTCCCTTCATTTCGTTTACCCTTTTTTGGAAGCACTTAATAGCTTTTGGAAAGTTAAAGTATTTCCTAGGGTTTTAAAGAGTCTAATTTGGATGCTCTTAACTCAGTTTTTGGCAAATTTAGCTGGTAGGACAGAATGCAATCTATTTGATATAACTAGGCCTTTAGATGAGTTGGGAGCTTCACATGGATTTCCCAGTGCTTCCGAGATTGGGAATTGTCTTGTAGGCTTTGGCACAGTTAGGAAAATAATTGAGTTTGTGGATTCAAAAGAGGAAATCCCATTTGTTCAGCCAGTGCCGAAATTTCTGGTTGTTAGAGATAGGAAGTTGATTCCAAGTTTTGAGCATATGAATGAGAACCCCCCTAGCAAGCATATCCCATCTCGGTTGCCTGCTTTCCCTGATCCTCGCACTTATATTCATACACCTATGTGGAATGAGAGGGAATCGAAGCTATGTGCTGATAAGATTGAGCAAGCACGGCAGCAGAGAAAGTCCGAGAGGGCTTTGCTAAGGTTGCAACAGAGGCTGGTGTGTAATGTTTCTTCTGGAACTTCAGCTTCCTTGGTAACAAATGCCTGTTAAAGTTGGAAATAACCCCTTTCTTGCTACCCCACTGCAACCAGGGGAGAAAGATGTTTCACAGCTAGTTTTACCAGTTAAACCTTCTGATGAATTAAGCAAGTACAATCATTTTTCCATGCTACAGGCATTTGCTTCGGTCATTGAAGCAATGAAAGGTGGGCTATCTAATGAATCAGATGGTGAAAAGATGCTTCTTCCTGAAAAGAGAGTTTCCGTCCGTTTCAATTTCAGAACTGGCAAGAAAATTTTGGGTGAGCTACTAGAGTTGTGCTTGCAGAAGAAAGGTAAGAGGAGGGCAACAACATTTTTGCGTAACGAGGAGAGGGATGACAAGAACAGAAGAGCTGAGTTTTATTTTCAGACAAACCACGGAATATCAGGTGGAACTTAATCAGTCTTAAAATGTATATTTTAAGTTGTTCTTTATTCAAATCCCATAAATATATTTTCTAGTAATTAATTGTTTTAGTGGCCTGTGGCACGTTAGCATAGGATCATTGCTAACTATTGCACTTGCATGGATCTTGCTTAAACACGTTCAAAACCCCACTCTTAACAGATTTTAGAGGTATGGGGACAATTATTTAGACATCAATAGCTTTACTCTCTAGTAATTCTTTGTTGATGAGATCCTTCATTTTCGTCGTCTTATTTGTTTTGCTGAATACTGATTCAAAAGTTTTCCTTCAATGTCATGAGAAAATTCGTATCCATATATTGTTCATTATTGCAATTTGAAAGTATTTATGCTCTTAATAAGTTCTTTAATTTGGGAAAAAATTCTATGCACTTAATGTTGAGGAAATGATGTTTCCATCTGTGCACAACATTTTAGGCTGCTGGAAAGTAATTATTAAAAACTTTCTTTATAGAAGGAAAAAAGATAAGGGAGATGGAAGCCAAATCAGGTTTGAACATTGACTTGAATGTATCGAAGCTGTGACAGACAGATAAGAATGATTTATGTTGTATACACTACACATGCCTTTTCATCCACATTCTCATCTGCTTTTGTTAAAGTGGAAGGATTGGTTGTTTCTTTGGATTCATATTTCACAAGAGAACAATGTCAAATAATAACTCTAGAAAAGACTTGTAACATGCAGAATGATGTCTTTACATTACCTGTTGGAATGGTTGATTTCCATCCATGCATACGATAAAATTCTTTCGAGTTCACTTGCTTCACAGGGAATGGCTACCTTTTGATTGAAACTGTATTCCTTTTCTGCCTCATCTAGTAACTTGATAAACGGTGGATATCTAAGATATCTTAGAGCAACAAAGAATTTCTTGGGCTTTCCATTTTCGATCACAAAAACTGAAAAGTGCCCCTTCTTTAATGATCCTGAATTTTCATCTCGTCTAGTGCTTCTGTCATTCTTGGTTTGTGACATAAAATTGGAGAGGAAACTGCTCTATAGCTGCTTCATTGCACTTATAGCAATGAAGTTGAGACTATGCATTATGCTATTCTTTTTAATCTTAGCCATGTGAATTGAGCTTGTCTCCCCCTTCCTTAAAGATGTCTCTTATTTGGAATTTTGTAGTCTTTAATGTGAACATATGTTGGATATAAATAGGGGAAGAATCTGTCCTGGTAATTATTACTTATTGTGATCCATCTGGTCTTACTCTCACCTCTATATTAGATAAATATGAGGTTAAGAAGCTTCCAGAATGAAGCTGTGAGAGAGAATTTGTTGGCACATTTTGTGCTTCCAAAATTTACTTTGATGATTGTATTGATTAGCTTCTATTATTTGTATGATATCATTTTCTAATGGAAATGCCTGAGCCCCCATGGGACAGGAAGTAAACTAGACCACGTCATTTTAGTTATGATAGCGTGCAAAACTTGCAGATTTTCAGTTTCGTGCATCGTAGAATTATCATGTCAACAATATTTTCGAGTTTGGAATGTTCCTAAGCTATGGCATTTTTGCATGGAGTTGGCAGTCAACTAGATCCCTCTTTGGAGCCACAGGTTAATCCAAAACTTTATTATTGCATAAGATGATATGCTTTGTACTTGTGCAGCTTTGTGTTGATAAGGTCCACCAATTTGTGTTGCAGATATTGCCACCTCTGTTTAGTTTTCTTACGGCATCCAGACAACAGAAAGGGTGGCGGAAAAGGAGAAAAGGACCTGAGATGGGGGCTGTCTGATTGTTGATTGTTGAGACTTTTGTATTGAACCATAATATTGGATCATTAGAAGCCTGAACTAAATGTTGAACCTCAAATGTCCATGCATGTTTAATTTATCCACGACAGCGCATGCATCTGGCATAGAGATGACAACGGTTAGGGGGTACAATAACACCCTATAAGATTGGACCAGGTCGAGGTCAGAATCGGTTTTGAGGTGTTGTCATGGGCTCAATTCATGATTCAAAACCATGAGACAATAGGAAACAAAAGAATACACCAACGACAAGAATCCATTAATTATGGATCTAGGGCCTAATATAACTAAAAGCACTAAGCTGAATTCAACATCAAACAAACAATAATTAACCAAAGATGAAATTAGATTCTATCCACTTGGATTGGATATAATTGGGAATTTCATGATTTTACTCCATGCCAAACACTAAACAGGTTAGAACAACAGTCACGAGGAAAATGTAAAGAAGAATATATTGAATTGCTGGCCTGGTGCTACAAGCCCCGATGATGATTCGAACTGAAAACTAAGTTCAATGACATGTCAGGCAAAATAATTTTTTTTTTGGGGGGGGGGGGGGAAGAGAGCCAAAATCCAAATTTTAGCTGGTGGTGAATGGTTAAAAACACCCACTTCGGAAAACAACCAACAATGACCTGATACATAGGTTCTCTACTCTAAAGTTCAATACACTTGCAAAAAATGGTTATCTCCTTAATAGAAGCACCCTGAAGCTTCTTCAATCTTAATGCAGCTTCATGTCAACATCAAAAGGTAGCGCTTTGGCTCTGTGGTTGAAGATCATGAAGTCCAAGTTTGATGGTAAAGAAACAATCCTGCATTCCAGATTATACTTCTTCATTTCAGAAAGCCATATAATAACTGTACAACAATAAGACAATAGTACCTTCAGCATTTTTAACTTTCCCACAAACTGAATTTGAGTTTCATACGAAACATGTGAAGTTTCAAGTACAATGTTTCTAGAAAGCAAAATAATGAAGAGCCACCAAAATTGAGAAGAATAATGTAGGTATGCATGTAGCTGAGAGGTTCACAAGAGCAAGTACACTACCTAGTTATTAAAATGCAAAGACACGTGTTGTGTTTTCATTACCATAGAAGTTTGCAGTATCGAAATAGAATGATTAGTCAAAACCAATTTGTATATTTCCTAGGAAGGGAGAGTTGAGTGAAATCTTCAAGAGAGAATACTCAAAGATTAAACACACTAAGGCCTTATATAGCATATCAGTCCATGTGAAATTGGTGAAGATTCACACTGGGAGTGTTGAGTGAAATCCTCAAGAGAGAATACTCAAAGATTAAAACACACTAAGGCCTTTCTTTCCATGAGAAATTTGTGAAGATTCAACCCGGTGATTACCGACTGACATTCAATCAAAATCACCAGGTACAAATGTTAGATTACAAGCTGAAAACTGATAAAAGTAGTTTATGAAATACTATTACACCCATCACACGGGGACACCTAGCTTGTTTCAATTAAACAAGAAGGCCAAGACAGTCAGAACATGATCGTGGACATCAATTTCAGTTTAATTTGCCACTCCCTCTCTCCCTCACTCAATATAGCTGATTAACACTGAACTAATAAGAAGTTTTCCCTTCTTTTTAGTTCATAACAGCTTTATTTGCATACAACCCGGACTAAAATGTCAATATTAGATAAAGGTATATGTTCAACACATGTATACTCGATATTCCAAGTTCTTTCACATATTAAGAGGATCGCAACCCAACACCCAAGCATGAAGGAATGTGTGGAACACAAATGTCAGTCATAGATACTTTAGGGAGGGAAATGAAACCTAAAAAATTAATAATTCAAATAACAGTTATTAGCACCCAAAACTTCTATTCTAGGTATGCATCCTTTTTTCAATGTTATATGAATGAAAACAAGAACTACCGATAGCCTAATTCTACTCCCAATACAAAATTAAGCCTTTGAATTCCACATTACCCAAAATTTTATATTTATAATCAATGAGAACCAAAACAAATAAATAGTTTCCACAAACCTATTCTCCTCAGAATCAGGATGTATGGAGAGAAAATCCCCGGGCACGGTTAGGGCAGCCGAAACACAGAAAACAAACCCTAGAAGCAACTCTAAAACAACCTGCACTTTTCAGATCAACTTATTATTTTAGATTTTGAGAGCAAAATTATTAACAAAATCAAATCCAATCACTTACATTCATGGAAGGAACAGAAAACTCCTCATCCATAATCTTCAACAGCCCCCTATCTGGAAAAATCCAAACAAAAAAAGAAAATTTAAAAGTTTACCGATCAAATCAAATCAGACATGAATACAAAGTAAAGGGAATTTTACACTGAATCGTGGAATAAGCCGCGTGGAAGAGGAACAGGACTCCAAAGACCCCGATTATTAATCCTAATCCCATCGTTGACGATGTCGATTCACGACCTAAAAGCCAACAGAAAGCACAATTTTTTTGGTACTTTTTTTTATTATCAGTACACAGCCTACACCGCGAAAATGGAATCCCCCGCAAAAATAAATCTTGATTCTGTAAGAAACGGCGTCGTACTAACCCTAAAAAGTATTTAATTTATTTAGGGTAAACTACAAGAGTGGTTAATTTTGTTTCAGATTTGTTCCCTTTTGGTCATCAACTGTTTAAAAAATACATTCTGGTCACTTACGTTATAAAGAATCAAGTTAATCAAGTCCATTATAATTGAAAGTAAGACAAATACGCATGTATACTTAAGATGACAATTTTGTTTACGGGCTTATTTGTATAAAAAATGTGTATGCATTGCTTATTTTCAAAAGCCAAAAACAAATGCTAACATGCTATGTATGAGAAACAACATATAATACTTGATTATGAGCTTACTAACAAGCCTATAGAAAATCCTATACAATCTTATTATGTTTAGAGTGAGCATTCGATCGAGTTGAGTTGAATGAAATTCGAGTTAGTCAAGTTTATAAGTATCATTTTATCATTCAAATTTTATTTGAAAATTTTCGAGTCATGTCAAGTATATAAAATTTGAGTTGAGTCGAATCAATTATATTTGTTTGAATTTATATTCAAATTCAAATATAATTATTTATAATGTAATAGTGCTAATTGATTCTAATTTAAACAACTCTCTAACCATATATAATATATATTTCTTTATTTTTCCCCCACATGTGTATGTAAGATTTGTAATGTTATTTAATAAATCAAAAATCATCTAAAATTATATAATATATTTATAATGTTATTTTTTAAGAGAAGGTTTCGAGGATAAAATATTGATGTTGGTATAAAGGAGTTAAGGATCTGGTGGGGATTTTTTTTCAAAGAGTTGCAATAGGAGGATCAAATTGAATAAAATGTAATGTTAAGGGATCAAATAACAAAAAGTTGAAATTAGTTTTTTAAAACATGAATTGAAGTTACACAGGTTTTCTACAATGGTAGAGGAGCATATGATTCAAATGTATTCAAAAATGGACTTAAATCGAATGAGGAGTTAAAAATAAAGAAAATCTTTAAAGTTGAAGGACTAAATTGAAAAAATAGAAAATATATTGTCAAAAAGATGAATTGAAGATACGTAAATATTTTACGATGTTTGAGAAGCATGTGGTTCAAATTGAGCCAAAACAGATTTAAAACGAATGAAGAATTGGAGAAACAAAGAAATGGGAGACTAAATAATCAAATTACTTAGCTAAAGACCAAAACGATGTTGTTTTAATTTTTAGTTTTTTAATTTTTCGATTATTCAAACTTTAAAATATAAATTTGAATCGAACTTAAAATTCGAAAAAAATTAGATTGACTTGAATAACTTAAATTTTGAAAAAAATAAAAGATATTTTTTAATCAAATCAATTTTCACTTGCTATAATTATATTCCTCCGTCCTTTTCTTTTCTTTTTTTTTTGTCTTTTTTTATAATTTTAGAGTGAATACAAAGTGGTATTTGTTTAAAAACTTTTAATTCTTTGACAACAAACGTTCATACCTATGACATATATGGTATTTGAACGTGAGAGACCTCAAGAGATAATGACAAATCCCTTAATCATTGAGATCGTTTGATTCTCCATTGCTGGTTAATATCAAGCTTGCAGTACAATTTTTCTAACGATTTTGCTCTTTGTTGTATTAAAGGTCTAATTTATGTCAACTTAGAGTTAAGGGATTAAATTTTAAATTTAAGCATAGTAATTGGACAAAACTCGAATTAGACCTTTCATTAAATGCATTTTTCGTCCCCTACTTCAGTCTTATCTATGTTTGCCGAGAAAATGCAGTAAAACAAACGAGCAAGTTTCGCTCCTGAAATTTGCACTCAGAGCTCTTGGCTTTCATTGAATTCAATTGCAGGTTTATTGGAAATTTGTTGCAGCTTCGGGCTGAACTTTTAGCATTTTTCCTTTTGTAATGTTTAATTCATCTTCCTGTTCTTTTGGCAGGACAAAATGAGTCAAGTTTTGAAGTCATTTCCGGGAACTCTTTTATTTAACAAATTAAGCTCCCACAATTTTTCCAGGAAAGAAAAGAAGTTGGCTCGACATGGGTCACGCTTTTTCCCCAGAAATAACGTTCAATCATCTTTCCGAGGTATGGATTTTGATACTAATGGCTCAAGCTTGCTTCTTTTCTTTTCTGGTAGTGGTTTGGAGGTTGTAAATCATGTTAAAAGCTCTCATAAGGAAAAGGTACCTTAATCTATGGATTTCGTTTTGAGTTGATGTTTCTCTAGGAATTACATAATTATATATGAACATCGGTAGTTATGAAAAGGAACGGACTTATGCTACGGGGCGAACATATAATATATGAACAGATCATCAATAGAAAATACAAAGAAAATAACTAAAATATACGGGAACAGGGGACCACCCCGGCTGCTCCCCTCGGTCCATCACGGGTTATGAACAAACAATGTTAGCATATTTTTGAAGTTTAAGTCTATGTAAGCTGATTGCTTTGACCCTGTGTGAAATTTGAAGAAGCCTGAATATGTTTCTAATTGATCATCTGAATAAATTCTTCATATGCATGTCCCATTGAATGTTAACAACTTAATATGTACAAGTGCTTGGAAGAAAAGTTATGAAAGAAACAATTTTACAATGTAGGTTCATTAAATTGATTCTATTGTTGTATGGATGGCTATTATAGCTGCATTTGTATGGCCTCTTGGCTAAATTAGCTTAATATGGTTTAAGTTGGTGAAAATCATATTCTTTTAAGTTGGCTGTGAGTTTAATGTTTCTCTTCAAATTGGATGTTTTTCTGCAGACTTGTGTCTACGATGAAGGAAAAGTAGAGGCCTTGCCATACATACAAACTCTTAGAGAGTTTCCTCGGGAGGAGCTTGTTGCAAAAGTTGTTATGGTGAGATTTGATTCTACCATTTTGCTTGGAGAAAATCTGGATTTGAGTTCCCAGTCTGCTTCAAAAGCAATTTACACCATTAAGTATTTACACGAATGCGGGGCTAAAGTGATTCTCGTGAGTGGATGGAGTAGGAAAATCAATTTCAAACTTCATGCTGCACAAACTGTTGCAGGTATTTTAAGCCACTCCATATTTTAGTTTTAGCTCTTTATGGTTTTTGTTTGCAACAAGAAGCTTTAACTGGTGAGTGCTAGCAGTAAGAACCTACACTTATGTTGTTAACATGGGGAATACTGGCATAGTTGAGTGGTCATATCTCAAAATGAAAGTACAACATTTCATTATCCTTGTTCGAAATTCATGCATACCTATAAATAAAGGATTTTGGATCATGTAGATATTAAATAATTAGGTATGATTTAATATTCATCCAGTCTTAAAACCATTAGTTTGAGGATTATTCTGTAGTTAATGTATTATTGTCTCTGCATTTCAGATATATTATCATCTGTTCTCCAGCACAAAGTTACTGATTTAAGATGTATTTCTTGCAACATGCCACTGAAGAGGGAAGACCTGCAGAAAGCAGACATCCTTCTCCTGGACAATCTTTCTGAATATAAAGAGGAAGTTGCTAACTGTTCAAAGTTTGCTGAACTTTTATCATCAGAAGTTGATATTCTTGTTAATGACTCATTTGGTCAGTCTCATAAAATTCTTGCATCAACAGTTGGTATTGCCCGTTTCTGCTATGCCTCAGTGGCTGGTTTTTCCTTTGAAGAAAACCTTCATCAGCTACAGAAGATTGCAAAAACTAAGAAAAAACCATATATTGCAATTGTATGGATTTCTTTCTAGTAATTATAGGGCAAATATTTCTATTGATTTCTGTTCTTCACAAGTCAGTAACTTGTTGATGCAGATTGGAGGGGGCAATCTCAAAAACAAGGCTGCTGCTTTACAATTTTTAGAATCTATATGTGATGCATTGGTCTTTGTTGGACAAATGTCCTTTCAGATAATGCATGCTGTAGGACATATTATTCCAACTAATCTGGTGGAACGTGATGCAAATAAAGCAGCTTTAGACATTGTTCAGTTTTCACATGATAAAAATGTTCTCATGTCATGTCCAAAAGATTTTTGGTGTATGAATCAGCGTTTTACTAAGCAGTTGGAGGTTTTTCCTGCTCATGGAGTTCCTGATGGTAGGATTGCATCCATTGTGATATACATTGTGCTTTTTGTTGTTGTTCACTCTCATTCTCACTCTCTCGAAGCAAGGTTAGCAGGAGATGGGTAAAGACCCCAGGCCCAGTCAAACCATAGTTTTTGTCAATAGCCTTCAATATTGTATTCCATTCCAGTTATTGCTTTGTGCATCTAAAAGCATACTTACCCTGAATTTTGAAATTATGCACCAATCTAGTAGCTGTACTTTTGCAATGCAGTGACCATAATTTTGAATTATCTCTCCATCTCATTCATGTTTATGCTGGAAATGGAAATGCTGCTACTCTGCATCTACTATTCATAAACCTTTTGCCAGTGTGTTTGATTATAGCAAAGTAGATATATGGTTTTGAGTTTTTCTGTTTGAGTTTCTAATTTTATAATAAAATTAATTTATTGATAATGATTCTTCTCTTTTAAAGTACTCTTACAGATTTTCTGTTTAGGTTGGTTGCCTGTTGATCTTGGACCCAGGTCATTGGAAGAAATATACTCTCTGGTAACAAAATCCAAGGTACTTGCAGTACTACCGATAAGTACCTATTACTTTTGGTTGAACATAGGTCCTTCATATGAAATTGTAATGTATGATCCATAGTATGGTGATAAAATCATATTGGCAAGATAATCATTGATTTTAGTATTCCATGCTCGAGACATTCATTACTTTGAAATTTTGGGACATATTGGTGAAATTTGTCTACCTAGTTGTATGTTGAATTTTATATTTGACTACCTTAGTTAGATGTTAATTTATGTGGTGATTGTTTCTATGGGTATTAAACATTAAAATTATTATTTTTAATTGATTTAACATTAATGTAGTAAAACGAGCATATATGAAGAAATTTTCAAAACCTTTTTTTTTTTGTGTGTGTGGTGGGGGGAAGGGGGGGGTATTTTATGTGGCTGTGTCATTTGTGTCTTAGGACTTTCTTTGTAGTAACCATTTTGATCAGCTATAGGCTAATTACGGTGATTATCATGCTCCAACTTACCTGATGTCTCTGCTCAATATATTACAGAGAATTATATGGTTTGGTCCAGGGAAATTCAGTTCCTCCAGCCCATACACAGGTGGAGCTTCTAAATTGGCTCAGATGCTTTACAAACAGAGTCAATGTGAATGTGAAATAACAATTGTTGGGAATACAGCATGTGAAGTAATAAAAAATGAAGCAAGCTCCTTATCTTCTTTTACCATGCTAGAAAATGCTTCAGTAGTTTGGGAATTTCTCAAAGAACAAAAGCTGCCTGGAGTGATGGCCTTAGATAGAGTATGCCAACTTCATCTGTGTTCAATTTTACTTCTCACAATTAGTTTTTTGCATCATATGCTTGTAGTTTTCACGTTTCATTCCAAAGGCCTTAGAGAAATGTGCTTGACATTGAATAATGAGATACTAAAAGTAGCATCAATGCAATTTTCCTATTCTCCGGGGCTGATGCGTTATTTAATGATGCATAAGATTCTTAGGATTGGACCTAATGGTTATAATTTAAAGAACCAAGAGTTACAAATTTTAGGAGTATGCTTAAAGTGGATACTCTCTGTGCAGGCATACCCATTTTCAATTGATTGGAGTGCTGCCTACCATGATCCATCCCAACCTTTGGTTGTTGATATTGGAAGCGGTACTTCTCATAGTTTCCTTAAACGAATTATTCGTATTATAGTTCCAAAAGAAATAACAAAATCAGATACTGCTTTTTTGAGGGACTGGAAAGTATTTTAGTGATCTATATTTTATTTACTATTTTACACAATTTGTAGTTTAATGACTTGGCTTAGTTGAATGATTGTGTTCCTTGAGCCTTGTTTTGCTCTTTATAATCAATTCTTGCATCTGGATTGTCTATGGCAGGCAATGGACTCTTTATCATGGGAATGGCCGAAAGAAGGAAGGATTTGAATTTTCTTGGTTTGGAGATTAATAGAAAGGTTTGATTTATTATTTCTGGGTTTGGAGGTTATTATTTCACCAATCTGTTGGTCTATCTTAATATTGTGTTACTTTTCAGCTTGTGAGGCGGTGTCTGGATTCAGTTCACCAGTCTGGTATAATGAACGCGTAAGAGCTTTTGCATGTAGTACGAAGAAAGATGTACTATGATAAAGACTAATAGAATTATTATATCAGTTTTAATCTGACTTCAGGACTATGATCAAGATTAATCTAATATAAAATTTTGACATGACTTCAGTATCGTCACCATGTTGCTTTGGTCATCCGTGCTAGGTACTTTATCGGTACAAATGCAACATCAACGTTCTGTTCCATTGTTTCCAGTTACCCAGGAGAATTGGTTCTTGTTTCAATACAGGTAGACAACGATGTTTGCTGAGTTCTTGTTATGATATTCTCTTATTTTTATTGCCATATTTCTTTTTGTCATAGTTTTATGGCAATATGAAATAGGCCTTGTTCCCTTCCTTCATGCTAATTTATAATATCAAACTTTAAGCATGATAACTTTTTCCATATAGTGCCCAAACCCGGATTTTAACAAACCGGAAAATAGGTGGAGCATGCTGCAAAGGTCTTTAGTTGAAGCGGTGGCCGATCTTCTTGCGCATAAGGGAAAGGTAACATTTTTTGCGGTATATGAACTCTTCATCTTCCATCGTATGCCTCCCCAAGTTATAATATGCTCCACATTTTTTATGAAATTATCACCTGCAACAGGGTTAGTTCATTAAATTACTGAGCAACTCTGATTTGCAGTTTTGGCCTATCTTGTTTCAGCAAATTGGATGTGCTTTCCCTTGCGATCTCTTATGCCCTTGTTGATTATAACATAACCGATAGTTGTTATACCTTATATCAGAGTGAATGAAACTTCTGAAATTGCAGTGATTTCGTACTCGATAATCAAATGACAATAAATGCAATTTAGACAAGGCCATGCTCAATTATAACTAAACCAATCGGCTTTGTGATTCTCAGGTCTTTCTGCAATCTGATGTGAAAGCAGTTGCCATGAGAATGAAAGAACAGTTTTTGCAATACGGAAAGGGAAAACTTCGTCTTTCGCATGATTGTCACAGTGTAAAAATCGATGGAAATACATGGCTCGAGGATAACCCATTTGGGATTCGTTCGGACTGGGAGCAACATGTTATGGATCGAGGTGCTCCTATGTACAGATTAATGCTTTCCAAATCAACTGGCTAAGTTCTTGGCATTTGCTGGGACTATCTGCATGTTGCTTGAAGATGGTTCGGGGAGGAACTCGGGGCCGATATGGCGCTGGTTCTACCCCTTCATGGAAGTAAGTTTTCCTATGCTTCCTTATATTGCTAATCCAACGTGCTTCATTTTTGTGTTCCCAAGTTCATCAGGAAATCAGATGAGATGCAGATACATGGTAGCACACTTGCACAGTGTAAATGATACTATCAGTATTATTCACAATTATTTAAATTTGAAAGTAGGAATAACTATATTTAATTTGGATTAGGATTCACGCATTATTCACAATTATTTAAATTTGAAAGTAGGAATAACTATATTTAATTTGGATTAGGATTCACTTATACAGTGTATAACTTTTTTAATTTTATACAAATTTAGGATCGTTGGATGAGTAAAAATAGACGATTGAGATTAACTCTTTGTTTAAAGTAGGAATAACTATATTTAATTTGGATTAGGATTCACGCATTATTCACAATTATTTAATTTGAAGTAGGAATAACTATATTTAATTTGGATTAGGATTCACTTATACAGTGTATAACTTTTTTAATTTTATACAAATTTAGGATCGTTGGATGAGTAAAAATAGACGATTGAGATTAACTCTTTGTTTTTTAAGCTAATATCTTCTTATTTACTATTGTTAATTTTAAGCGTCTATTTTCATTCACCAAACTCTTTTAAATGTGTAAAACTAAAAAAAAATATTTTGTGTAAATAGATCCTATCTCATTTAAATATATATATTTTTTGAACAATGACAACTGAATTTTGTTAATAAAAATGATGGTAGGAATCAAAATTATGTATCCAAGCATATAGAGAAAAATGAGGACAATAGAAAAATTCATACATAAAATAAAAATATTAAACTCAAAGATACAAAGAAAAACGAAACATTATATTGAGAATGACGTCTAACATAAAAAAAAAATTCAATAATCTTTATAAAAATTCATTGTCTCTGTCACACGAGACATTTTATGAAGTTATACAAGAGTGGTGAGCGACGCAAACTAAATTATCTGACAAGTTGATTCACTATGTAATTCTGATTATATCGTCATATAACTTTTTATAAAAGAGAGTATCGAACTATATGTGACTATCAACAAACTGATTAAAAAACAAATGTTGGGATCTTTGTGCAAGCACTGACACGATCGTAAATGTATGCGAAAACACACCAAAAGCCATAAAGAATGTGTCACAAGAGCAAGAAAAGGACGTGTCACAAAGTAGAAAAAAGAATGTCATAATAAAATATATTCTTATTTAAAATTAAAAAAGATTTAAGAAAAAAGAAAAACAAATGATATAGCATGAAAAAAATAAGAGAAATAATAATCATTGAATATAAAGATTAATGTTGACAACGGTTAAATAAAATCAAAAAGAAAGAGAAAAACAACACAAATTATTAAGAAAAAAAATTAGATTATGAAAAAGAAGAGAAACCCTGTGTATCTTGTGTATCATTTCATTTAAATATATGTAAGTTTATAATCTTTCAGATATTATAACAATAACGGTGATATTTAAATTAATATCTAAGCTAATATGGGTAATATTCAAACATTCATCATTAATAATTTGATATTTTGGTTCCCAAAAATTCCCCCCAAAAAAACTATACAGTAAAAATTATATATTAGACATTTTGAAGCCCAGTTTGCAATTGCCTGCACAATACATATAATCGGAACCCCACGATATACCAAATGAAATATATATATTTCTATACTTAGTGCTATATATTTCTCTTTTGAATTTCTTTAGGATATTGTGTCAATTTGAGAATTACATATTACTTAGAGATATTATTGGAGAGAGCATTATAATTTTATGTCATGGGTATGAATTTAAAAATTTATATTAGAAATTTAAAAGGATAAAATTTTAGAAATTATAAAATTAAATTATTAATAAAAACTATTTAAACTACGTAAAAGTTTAAAATTTTTAGAAGATACGACCGCGTCCTAACATCCTCTATCCATCCAATCATATTACATTAACGAATTAAGTGATTTCAGTGGTTAATTGTTTTTATTTTTAGAGATTTTAAGTTCTAACATATGTCTATAAAAATATTTAAGTATTAATTATCAGATTGTTGAAAGGATAACGTGGAGAGTTTAATTTAATTTTGTTTAAATGATTGATAGTGAAAAGATTTTGAAATCTGGGAAAGTCAATTTAAATTGTTCCTTTTATTATTTTTCTCACCAACCAATGATGATTTCAGGTGAAGAAGGAAACACTCTGCAACTTATATATAAGATTATCTTTTTTGCTAAATGAAAGGAAAACTATCAGATCAGCAAAGTTAACAGCTACCTAATCACCTCTTGAAATTTGTCAATTTATAGAAAGAATGAAGAAATTACATGGTGAAACAGTGTAAATATCAGAAGGAAACTGCTAATTACATGATACTGCAAAACTTAACTCACCTATGTGATGTCCACAGAATTTGGAGGAAACCCAGATTTTCCAAGAAAACTCAAGCAGATGCGTACTTTTATTATGTAACACCATAGAGATTTCCCTTGCCCTTGAAAATTGATAATGAGCTACAATTATACAAGTATACCATTTTTAATTACACTAGTACTCCTATACAAGTGGAGACCACAAAATCGAATCCAAGCCGGCCTTTTTTCACGGCCCGCCTCGGTCACGCCAGCAGACGAGCATTGCTATATATGCAATGTCGGAGGATTTAGAATTTGGCTCGCTGCTCGACCAAATGATTGCATTTTTCACCGAAAGACCTGCACGGCTCATAGCCGAGGCCATTGTTACTAAGAAACCTCCTCTCGTTTTCTTGGCCTGCCATATGAATGTACGTGAGCTCTTTCTCTTTTACTACATTTCTATGGTGGTGGTGTTATTGGTACTGATATTCATAAGAAGCAGTAAATATGAAAGGATGTAAGGTTGAATGAGCAATAGATGTTGTGATTTATATAGAAAAAAGTGGCAGAAGAAAGTGGATTTTTTTTTTTGGCTACAAAAGCCATGAATTGACGATAACAAAACATGCTTGTATAACAGTGGGGAACATGTCCTCTTCTTTGTAAACTGTCATTGATTTTTCAGTGGCTGAAATATCTGAATTCCCCCATTTATTTCACTTGTCAGCTTGATCAAAAGAGAAGAAAACTATAAATTGAAAGGCCAAATAAAGGCTTCCATGGTGCAACCCTTTCTCTTTCTCCTCCTCATTGCACTCGGCTCCATAATAGTGCTCTTCACTGCATTTCTCGCCATGCTTTGAAGCAGGGAATGACATGCTCGCCCACCGTGGAAAATATACTAGTGTCAAGGGCAAAGAGTAAGCCACGATCATGATCCCCATGTAGAAAGTCCCAGTCACGGTCGAGTAGTTCAAGCTCATAAAGAACAACAGTGGAGTTAAACTGGACCCGAAATTTTCTCCGGCGCCGAGATGAATCAAAGATAACGTTTCTTCGAGTGCAGATTTCACAGATATAATCCAACTCAACATATGTTAAGTTCATTATTGATATAGGATAAGAAAGACAAGCCTGCGTGGATTTAGAAGCCATATAATTCGTTTGGCGGCCATTAACATGATTTTCTTCCCAGATGCAGCACCAACCGTAGAGAGATGCAACGAACAAGCATCTCAGTGAAGAGCCTAGAGCAGAAAATAAATACTCACAAGCAAAGCCATGATCAACAAGCATAAAACATCAAGTGATGATATATACATCATCCTGAAGATGGGTTGAGATTATGTAAGCATCAAGCTGCATATTGTGAAGTCTAAATTAAATACCACAAAGAAAAGGAAAGCAAGGTAAAGTACCATACGACTATCAGCCACATGGCCCAAACTGATCATCTCATTGCAAAGTCTAAAAGCTTCATCTGATCTCCCTTCCTTAGACAACCCTGAAATTATCGCCGTATAGGTTGCTACATATGGAACTAGACCCTTTCAACTCATTTTATTAAACATATTCATGGCCTCATCTACCTTCCCGAAACTACATTCATCGTGCACAAGTGATGTGTATGTGTATATATCTGGAATTATCCCTTTGGCTTCCATCTCATCCCTTAGCATGTATGCGTCTTTCAGTTCCCCTTTCTTGCTATGTCATCGATGAGAACATTATATGTAACAATATTAGGACTCTCCCCCTTTCTCTGCATCTGTCGAAATAGCTTCTTTGCCTCGACAACGTTCCCTTCTTTGCAGTGAATATCAATCAAAGTAGTGAAGTTGACTGCATATAATCGATTTGATCAATAATATTGAGGGCTATCCTTATTATTTTCAATTTGATCCATCAACCCCTTCTTTGTGCTTTAGAATTTGTACGTGTAGGCATTCTTCCCTCAAGAATTCCTGTTTTTCCAACCATTTGCATGAATATTTGGTATTCTAATAAAGAAACTAAATGCTACCATATGGGAATCGAGCTAAATAAAGGTGGTACCGGAAAGGTGGTATCCTGATCTTCCCATACGGTTTGTTGCATAGAAAGCGGCGTCCTTGCAGTGAATAGCAACTTATCCAACTTTGCCACACGACTTGCTAGTTCTTCTTTGGAACGACGGTGATTACCTTCTCGAATGTATGATCTCTTTGCATCTACTACTTTGCCCAAGAGGCTGTAAACGTTCTACTGAGAATCAATAAGCAGGTTCTCTCGCGGTCATCTTTCGGGTGGGACTGGAATTGGACTTCGACTTGAATGAAATGGTTAGAGTCGCCACCGATAAATTATTTTAAGAACAAATTGGGTTGATCGGATACCTCGATTTCTTACCTGATCTGCATCTTTCCAAAGATATGTTGGATTCGGGAGTCGATTACAGTCAAAGAAGTATTAGCATCCTTGAACTGCCATTTCGGTACTAATTAATTTTCAGTTGTCTTTAATTAAAAAAATTACAAGTTAAATTAAAATGTAAAATATGATTTAAAGTACTTACCTCTGATA